TAACGGTGAAAAATGAGATGCTTTTGCCGCCTATTCACGGGGTAGTCGTCTGTAACTATCTTGACTGAAAGTTATCTTTCTCCTGCAGGGAAACAGTCACAAAAATTGACATTAAAACCTGAAGACCCCACGATCGTCTACAAAGGCGATAATGTTACTCTTGAGTGGCGGTATTACTATCCAAGTACAGGTTTTAAACTCATTGAGGTTTTCTTCGGTATTTGGACGAATCCCGTTTCAGCGGCAAGCTCAAAACTTATTGTAGTCAATAGCAGTGGCTTTGTTCAGTTCAAAAAGGAGTACAAGGCACGATTAAGTTGGAAAGGAAACATGACGTCTTCATTGGCTGTGTTTGTTCTTCACAATGTGCGACCTGAGGATGGGAACACGTATTATGGGATACATGTGGAGTTTGACTTACACTATCCACTCATCGATACACTAAAGCTTCAAGTGAAGGAAACAAGTAAGAGACACCACCTTTATGATGATAACAGATCTGAAACAGATATGTCCCCCGATTAGGGTATTTCGAGTTTTTCACAGATCATAGTTACTTATCGTAGTTTTTTTTTCTCCTTTGAACTAGTTGCTATTCATGGCTGGGAATGCTACTTTTCACTTGAATTAAATTCCCTTATTAACTTACTCTCTCATTTGGTGAGGCTTCCGTTTCTGTTTTATTCTCTAATTTTCTACCATAAGCTTTCTGAAGTGTTCCGATCATGATAGTTACCATGTTCTTATCTTAAATCGAACAAAACATGATTAGGCGTTTCAGATAATATAAAAGTCCTAAGCTCATATAGAAACCATAGCAACCAAATCACATTCATGGTTTCCCTTCTTGAAATATTTTGGAGCTTCCTTCAGGTCCTTGAACATGATGGCCGTTTCTTAGACCATGGTTTTCATGGAAGAGTTTAAGTGGAAGACTTTGTCCCCATTCTAAAACATGACACACACCCGTCTACTCCTGAGGTTATGTGACCTGGCGTTAACATTGAGGAAGAGCAGCATCTCGATGCATACAATATCCGAATGGGAAAAATGGAGTGGAGTGAATTATTTTAGCAATTTAGAGAAAGCGTAGAATAGACTTGTTGGTTAGATAACACCATTTTTGCAGAAATTTCCAAGAGATAAACGTGGAGAAATTTCTTTGCATGGTCACCGGTGAGGAAAATAAAATGTATTAAAGTTCACACGGCAACCAGGTGGACAATCAGACATGGTTTGATGCTACTCTGGTTTGCAGATTAATGAATGTAACCGAAGAAGTTACAATTCATAGACCCAACGTTTCGACACTCCTGTCTAGTGCCTTCATCAGGGGTTATCTAAACACTGCAACAAGAGGTCCTTTTATATGATCACTGATTAGCGGTCTTTTTTCTGACGAGGTGTAAATAGGCGTCAGGAAGCAAACGATAAAAAAATAAAACACGAGTAAGCAAGCAGAAATCTTCAGTTAGAGCTATTTGCTGGCCCAACTTATTTGCCACTTCTCCTTAATCTTTAACAGGTAAAAAACAGAGATTTACTTTGAAACCCAGTAACCCAACAATAGTCTACAAGGGCGAGAATGTTTCTCTAGAATGGCGCTATCA